GGATGCCCTGGGGGTAAGCAGATAAACATCACATTTTCATTTTTGGGTGAACTATCCCTTTAAGAAAGGTTCCAAAAGGGGTTTTCAAAATGATGCCACAGAAGAACCATTTTGAACCTTTCAGTGAACAGTTACAAGAAGCACACTTTTCTTCTTACTGTGAACAACATTTTAATAATCTAACGAACATTTTTCCAATATAGAGAACCTTTTGTGAAATAGAAAGGTTCTGTGAATGTTAAAGGTTCTTCATGGAACCAATAAAGACGTTCAATACATTGAAAGTCAAAGGTTTCCAATGTTGCTTTGGACCCAACTAACTTTAATTACATGGACCAAAACACATCTTTTGTGTTCCACATGAAGAACAACAAAACTCATATAGATTTGGAACAACATGAGGGGTGTAAATGCATGACAGAATTTTAATTTTTAAGAGAACTATCCCTTTAAGACAAAAATCTTAATAGAACTGTCCAAAATCTGTCACACACACTTACACACGATTAAAAGTTATCCCCAACAATGATTCACACTGGCTGCCAAAACTCTATGAGCAGTTACAAGCACAAACTTCATGAGAGGTTGGACGCTAGTCATTTTCATCTTTTTTCCCCCATGATTATTTTTTGTGGATGAGAACAAGTTTAAGAGGGGCTGCAAATGGAAGGACACCCACCTGCAGAGCTGACCTGTAACTACTGAACGAGTTGGTCAAGTCACCCTTCAGCTCGATAACACCACAACAAGCCTTTTCAATTAAACGAATCTGCCCGTTCCAAAAAAACATAAAAAAACACCACCATGTGCCAATACCAGCAACACAAAATAATAAACCTGCTGATGGATAACTGGACACCAGGGACAATTTTATAATTAAATTTTTTATAGTTTAATTTTATTAATGCAGAATGTAATGAGAACACTTCTACATTTTTCAAAATTAACACCAAAACTACAACTGACAAATTAATAAATATTTTCATAAAGATTAAGATTAACAAAATTGTTTTTAAAGTTTAGATAAACTATCACATTGACTTTAATTTTCTGTTCTCTCAAGAAACAATATTACAGTACGTTTTATGTTTACAGTGGCCCCTATAAGTATTTGGATACCTAAGTAACATTGAAAAATGCTTTAATGTCATTGCATTTGATAACAATGACTAAAAACGTTTTTTTCCCACCAGAACTAACTTTTTTGAGCCATTTTTGAAAGCTTGAGTTTACGCAGCAGAGAGACAACCAGAAAGTGTCCATATACTTTTTTGGCTTTATTTTTAACAGTATAAATATGGTTTTATTTCTTAAAACCCTAATGAAATGTTTTTTGTGGAATGTTTTGCTTGAAGAGTGCTTGTTATCTTCTTTTAAAATAAATGTCCCTTGATTTGATATTTTGTTAAATAATGTGGACACACTATAATGCATCATACATCTGTTTGACTTCAGTATCAAAATATTTTTGGGGCAATTTTATGTATGTACAGGTATAAAAAAATAAATAGTTAAAATTAATAGTCTTTAAGACGCGAATTTCGTACTTACTTCATTACCAATCTTTTTATATATATATTTTTTTTTTACTAATTACTAATAATAAAAAAACCGCGTACGATCTAATTTTCTGACACGACACGAACGAAATACTAAATGATAATTATAACCATATGATCTTTAATGAATAAACAATTAGAACTTTTACTCGAATGTAAGAACGTGAATGTTATTTGTGAATAAGTTCGAGTAAACATCACAAACCTGTTTTCTAACAGCTTCTGTGCAAAACGAATGTATTAATTAATATGAACAAACACCACTGCTATATTCAAATAGCCTACTTTTACAACTTTGGCATCAGGTTCATGGAGGCTCACCTGCCGTTCTTGGTCACAATCATCTCATTAGTCAATTCTTTGAATTTCCTCCAGAGTTCAGAATCTTCCAGGGTGACTTTGAGCTGTTTCTCAGTGGGGTCTCCCTTCTCTCGACCGGCCTGTAACTCGCTCTCCACGACGCTCAGCAGTCTGGTGATGCAGCAGTCGTTGCTGCCCCGAGCACCGGTCACCGCTCCGCCACCGCCGCCGCTCCTCAGCTCTTCCTCCATCTTCATGAGTGACGGGCAAATCTCACACGCGCTTGCCAAGTAGAAAACAACTGGACTATAACTTTAGCTCACTAGAATTGATGAGAAGATTTAGACGTAACGTTGTGTCTAACACAACTTTTAGATGGCATAAAGAAATCATAAAAAGAAAACGACTCTCTTTAGTATACACTCAGTGTGTATGTTGGATCTGTACCTTCAGCTCTCTGCGACCACCTGTTCTTATGACCGGAGGACAAACCTGCAGTCACGTGGATTTCTCCAATTAAGTGGTTCATTCCCAACCCATTGTTTTCAGTTCAAAACCCACTTTAATGTTCAACATTCAAGTTTATTTTCGATCTTCATATTTATATTTAGGAAATGTTTTGCTGTTTGAATAACAGGAAAAACCTGAAATTTACAGGCATAACACTTCAGCGAGAAAAATAAAGGTACCTTACGAACGCTACGTTAATTTACGTAAAGGAATGAAAAGCATGATGGAAAACAACTCGTAAATCACACTCCGGATGTGTTTTATGCATACTGTAAATAGGCCTAAATGGCTTCTCAATAAAACAAAAATCTTTTTTTTCAGAACCATGGACAGTTCGTAAATGAAGTTTTGTATTGTATTTTATTTCATAGTAAACGTATCAATGACGGGATGTGTAGTTATTTTAAAAAAATATTTAAAAAAAAATACTTCAGTACGACTCCTTTATTATTACCATGTTTCAATTTTCTCGTCGGGAGAAAAAAACGTTTTATAAAAAATGTCTCGTAAATGAAGTTTTGTATTGTATTTTATTTCATAGTAAACGTATCAATGACGGGATGTGTAGTTATTTTAAAAAAATATTTAAAAAAAAATACTTCAGTACGACTCCTTTATTACCATGTTTCAATTTTCTCGTCGGGAGAAAAAAACGTTTTATAAAAAATGTCATAAATAGGAACTGTTTTTGTCATGTGAGGGTAGAATAAAACGTGTCATTTAGATTTTCAAAAATAATCTATCACATATTTTTTTACCTTTTTATGAAAAGGTTACTTGGGTCAAATGGAATAACCTTAAGAAATAGGCTAGTGATATATTCATAACTCACACATAATTGTAAACATTGTATTAAATGTTTTTCAGAAAATGAATGCAAATGCATCTAAGGACATGAGTTTTAAAATTTCAGTTTGGACATTCTTATTCAAATTTGTCTGACCCATAATAGTTTATATAATTAAAATGTGAAAAATCAGATTCGGTCTATCTTCCACTACGCGAAATGTACCCCAATCATGACCGGACACTATATAGCTATATATACTACTTTTTTTTTTTTGGACATTGTAACTAGAAGGCTAAATCAGCATATTTCCTTTTAAATTAACGATGAAGGCTAGCTGTTATTTGATGCTTTAAACCTCATTCTGCTTCCTAAAATCGGACTGGTATGAAACATCAGAACATCCACTGTGATTCACAAGATGAACTCGTATGTGAGGGCGTAAATAAGGGCATACTGTCAAAGAGCTTTAGTACTGTGGAAGCCATGTGGAGCAGAAATCAAATACTGGATGTTCTCTGCAGCGGGCGAGAATGAACGGAAACTCGATCCAGCGACCGGCGCTCTAATCACAGAGCCACGCGCATGGAGATTAGAGGATTCAAAGAGTTTAAATCCGGAAAAAAAAGAGTCTCATTAGCGGAGAATCCTCCTGCATATCAAACATCAGCAAACCAACCCTCCCTGACCTTTCACTAGCAGAGATGACTTATGCACATCAGTCAACTTATAAAAGTCTCACAGATGCATTGTGGGATGGGGCTTCTTAAATGACAGCAAGTACTTTCAATTGAAGAAATACTCATTCAGGTCATAGGATGCACTGACAACAAAAAGTAAATAAAACTAGGATTAAAAAAAAAGGGAAATTGATTTAGGTAGTCTACATGAATCTGATTAATGTTTAATAGGAAGGATTGTTAAAATGTCCATATAACAGTAACAATTCTTAAACACCACACATATAAATTCTTTTCATAGAAATAATGAAAATCCATATAACGAAACAAACATGAAACAACACAATTAATCAACATGATAGGGAAAATTTCCATTTCAGTCATGATAAAACAATTCTGGAATGCATATTTCAGTCAGAAAAATATTTTTATACATAAATAAAATGAATCTCTTCAGTAAATATACTGCTGACATACAGTAATGAAGAAAAACTACCACTGTCATTTTTTAAATCAATACAGTTCAAAGGAAATGTGCCAGACATGATTTGAAAATATGAGGACAGGCATATGAAACATTCATCACATCATTTTGCACCTAAATTCAAAGAAAGAAATAGGGTTGTTTGAAGACAAATGAACCCTAAAGATATTCATTGCCACCCTAATGAGTGTTTAATATTTGACTTATCTAATAAGACATTTCTGACATCCTTTCACTTACCTATTATAGATAACTTCTGAACTAAAATATAATTGGAACAATTACTTAGAAATCTTGTTCTTGCAAAAAAAAAAAGAAATAAATCTAAATACTAAAAAAAACGCAAACACTGGTTACATTTCTACCCAATCTAGTCCTCGAGTAATCCTTGGATGAAGGCAGAGATGAAGGCACGTAGGAAGGAATTATTAAGCAATTACACAGCAGCAGATAAATGTAAAATAAGCTACCCCATGTTGCTGCATAAAACATGTCACTACAGTTACAAGACAGAGTCCGAAACTCAACCGTTTACCCAATAAGATTTGTTACTTGGGTATTTGTTTCATTCTTCATAGTTTTCTACTTGAATGTAAAGCACAGGTGTGTGTGTGTGTGTGTGTGTGAGAGAGAGTACTTGTCTGTGTGTGCTTGTTCACACAGATGGAGAGTGTCCATCCGTTGGGGAGAGTAAGGGGAGCCTGTAGTGTGGTGTGGTGTCTGTGCCAGGCTGCAGAGTGAGTACACGAGTGGCATTGAAGGCAGCACCGAAGCTGGAGCCAAAGCAGCACACAGAGAGAGAGCCAAGGCCAAATGTAGAGGCATCTCATTTGAAGCACGCGGTGAACAACTTAATAATTGCATCCCTACATAAAAACAAATAGCCAAAGGTAAACAAACGCTAAAGCCAAAAAAATAGATGATTAAAAGTGTCTTTTTTGACAAAATGACAGTTTCAAATTTAGTCTATAAAGCAATGATGTGAATTTCACACACAATAAAGACCAATAGGCACTTAAATAGCAACAATTATATTTTAAAATGGAAAATGTACATTTTCACAATTTAACATTTATATATACTATATAACAGATACTACTGCAAAAAAATAAAAATAAAAACCTAACTAATTCAACAAAAACATTTAGATAAATTGGCCCGAGGACAGTCTTTGACATCTGCAAAGACAACATTTTTTCGGTTGCTTCAGTATTTTTATTTTAATCTATGGTTTTGAAAATATAAAGTAACTCACCTTGCAAAAGGAATGTAGGACAAGCTATACCTGTAAAATAAAAGGATATAATAGAGACAAGTTAAATTCATAAGCTAAATTTCTCTCTCTCACACACACACACACACACACACACACACACACACACACACACACACACACACGTTGGGTTTTCACATTTTATGGGGACTTTATTGACATAATGACTTTTATACTGTACAAACTGCATATTCTATCTCCTATATAACTCACTCATAAACCTAACCCTCACAGAAAACTTGCATTTTTACATTTTCAAAAAACATAATTTAGTATGATTTATAAGCTGTTTTCCTCATAGAGACCAAAAAATAAATAAAAATAAAAAGTCCCCACAATGTCAAAAAATGGTAATTTAGTAATAATAACAGCAATCAACTGCATTACTTTCATTCTTTACTATGGCTACCATAGCAGGGCCACTATTGCACTATTTTTATAGCTTCTTAAAAGTCGTTTTTGATAGGCGTGCCTGTAAGATACACTATACCCATATACTATGTCCATGTGTCAATATCCCAACAGTTGCTGAAATAACTCCTCCATACTCAGTTCCATGTGCTTTTGCTGCTACAAGTTCTTGAAAACATCAATAAATAACATCTTTACTGATATTCTGGTTCTGAATTGTAAAGGTCAGGAGTTCTGTTAAAAATAACTCAGATTTATTATATATTATTATTTTATATCATATTAGATTGAATATATTAGATTCGTAGGAAACATTAGCTGTTCTGGAACTTCTGCCAGACTTAGTGACTATATTACAAATATATTTCCTATATACTCGACCCACTGAGACCACTGTAATCAGAGATGGAGCGAGAAAGAGGGCAGAAGTAATCATCTCAGTGTTGTTAAAATCAATAGTAGAAAAATAGCATTCTGCCGCTTAAATTCAAAGATCCGCTTCAAGGCTCAGACTCCTGCTTCAAATATGTGGGCCCACCAAAAGCACAAAATAACTACTGAAAAGTCTTCAAAAACTTTTGAACGGTTTGCAAAGCCTAGGACCATCACAAAGACAGGTGTGATATTTCAGGACACCTACTACAGTGATATCTGTCAGGTAATAGTGCCAGTCCATTAAAAAGAAAACGTATCACTTACAGCACTGCGTGGTTCAAAGTTCAAGGTTTTTTTATTGCCTTATGTCATTGGTGTTCTCACTTTCACTCACTCTTATATATACATTTATGTCTGTGTGTGCGTTTGTAAATATACTCCATATACAATTACAAAATGTATATAGTCAAATATAAAAGAAAAGTAACTAGTACGGCTATCTGTTACCTTACCATGTAAAAGCCAAAAACTGGAGGATACAGAACAGCAGGGCAAGGCCTTTGTTCTTCCACTAAATACAAAAACAAAGAAATTTAAAAGATAAGGAAAGCAAACAATCAATTATTATAATAAACACGCAAATTTACACATTGTGTTACATTATGACATGAAATCATGGTTATTAGCAAACCCACTTACCCAAAAAGCAGCACAAAAGGTTAGCACCAGGCATGTCTTTAAAAACACAAATGTTTGGTTTACAGGAAAAGGAAAAAGGCCACTTAGTGAATTATATGAAATACTGAATCTCTCTGTGCATTAGGCTATGATATCTGTGCATGTGTGTGCTCTCACAATCATAAGGCCAGTTGCCAGAGCTCTCGTCTTGTCACACATCCTCTTGAGTTGCTTTAATGGACCCATTAAGAACATTGTGCTGAAAACAATCCACACCCAAAAGACCTCAGGATTGATTTACAGATTCTCACAGATGCTACACATCACTGCATACATGGGCCAATCTGAGACATTTCATTTTTCTATTAATTTATTCACAAATGCTTTAACATTTGCAATCCATACAGACAATGAGTTGAAAACATTCATCTGTGGTGAACATGTTTTAAATCTCGAAAGGAATTTATTTTCATATATATTTGGGGGCATATTACATGAAAAGGCTGAAAAATTGGCATAATCTTTAATTATTATTTCTTCTTGTCATTTTGTTTTTACTCAGTTCTCATAAGATTAGATAAAAGTATCAATGTGTTTTTTTGTGTGTTTTTTTAGCTATTAAAACATATTTCTGTCAGGACCACTATCGTCAAAATGATAGATACTTAGCATAACGTTCTGTTCAAAAAACTCCCTGCCCATCCATGCAGCCTGTCATGAATGAGCAGGGAGAGCAGCAATAATAACCCCCCTAGGGTTAACAGAACAGAACAAGGCAGATATCATTAATGTACTTGATATTTAAGTGCAACACTTTATTCAAGATAAAGGAGTCAGATTAGCAAGGAATATCAGAAAGCCAAGTCCTGACTGTGGCGAAAGGAGGAGCTGGGGATGGAGGAGGGTAATTTGCTCCTGAGCAAGCTGAAAAGCTGCTGAATAATACTGAATAGAGCTTATATAGGAATGTCGCGATAGGTGTCGTATTCCTATAGGTAGATGTGATCAGCTGATGCAAGCTTGACTCACGTGACCTGCCAGAACTAACGCTAACGCTTAATTTGTGGTCTCTCAGGGAGAGACTTTATGGCACTGCAAGTTTAGTCTGGGTTTTCAAATGTAAAACGGTATAACCCCAAGAAATCTCTGTGATATAAAAAAAAAAAAGATTAAAAAAATAAAATTAAGAGTTTTACAATCACTCAAATGTATGCGATAAGGAAAATATCTGATTGCTTTCCATTTTACTGTAAAAATTATTCACAAATGCAGTTGTGAATAACACAAAGATTACCATTTCAGTTTTCTACTTCATTTCATGTTTAATTCAATGTGTTATTTGCAGTTTCTTTGTAATTATTTGTGAACTTTACTAGCAATTTCTGAGTGAAACATTTATATACACATTTTCTTCATTGCGCTTATATCAATCGACATTTTAAAGTCACTAATTCAATTCATTTGTTAAAAAAAAAGTGTTTTTGACCTTGAACAACATCCACATTTGTCACTGCCCACACATGCCAATGCAAACATGGCCTACCATTGTAAACAATGTAGCAAGTGACACACCTTGGGCGAGATGAAATCAAAGGTGGACAGTTAAAAGCTGCATGACTCACCTTAAAAGAGAAGCAATATTACCTAAACTGTAAAATACTGCAAAGAGTGTCAGCCCGCTTCTCGGAACCCAAAGCAAGCAGGTCCCCTGAATCACAAAAATAAGGAAAGAGTAGACGTTTGACTATTGTACAATTAAAATAAAAAATATAAAACTATTCGTGAACTCGTCTTACCAAAACTGAACACAAGACGCCCGACACAAAACACACGATGAATCCCTTGACGCGTGTGCCCCATCCCAGTGTTGATGCTTCATTCGCTGCCTAAAACAGTATATTCACGGATGTTCACCAAAAACAGAGATATAAATCAATTTGATATTAAGCTTTTGCTAATGACAGTCGGGTAAGCACAAAACAAGTCGCAAAAGACAACGTTAGATTCGAATTCAAACCGACACCCCATCACTCTGTAGACATAATAAAAAACACACGATGAATCCCTTGACGCGTGTGCCCCATCCCAGTGTTGATGCTTCATTCGCTGCCTAAAACAGTATATTCACGGATGTTCACCAAAAACAGAGATATAAATCAATTTGATATTAAGCTTTTGCTAATGACAGTCGGGTAAGCACAAAACAAGTCGCAAAAGACGACGTTAGATTCGAATTCAAACCGACACCCCATCACTCTGTAGACATAACTCTTCAAAGCATTAAAACTGTATGTACTGTAATATAAAGTGTAATGCAGTAGACTGTTAAACGCAACTACCTGCAGTACGTTGAGGTCGTCGTTGCCATCTTGGCCACTCAAAACTTTCTTTAATTTGTCCATAAAGGTTCAGGTCGATGTGTAATAAAAAAAAAAAATCCAAAAAATAAGTCTCAAGTCGAAAAAAACCTGACTCAAAGCTACTTCGTTTAAGTAAATATGTATTGATTTGTTCCCTTTCCTGTTTGAAAGTGTAACAGGTGCATACGATAACGTCCGTGTGTAGCCACGGCAACGGTTACGCGACGTCATTACGCTCGACGTTCTGAATCGACACAATGGGTTATTTCTAAAGGTCTTTATGACTGATTTTCATTTGTATTTTGAGTCTCTCCAACGGATTGATAACAAAAAATGTAGAGATACGATTTTATTCGCTAAAGAGTTGAAGTTACTTGAAAATTGAACGGGTATACGCTGTCTTTTTTTTTCTTTAAGTATTATTATTGATTTTTTTTCTCTCTATGTAATGTAAACCCATTCCTTTAATAGTGTTATCTTGTTGGATGTCTTGTTAAAGTTGTAAATGTTGCATGTTATGTCTTTAATGTCTAATAAAAAAAAAAATAAAAAAAAACAATGGGTTATTTCTCTTCTCTTCCATATGTTCAGATGACATTGGATGTATTGTTGATACATTATGTGTAATGTATGCAAAGTTGTATTTCATTAATGTCATCTCTGAATTGTTTGCAATAAAAAAAAACACACACACAATGGGTTATATAGAGCCTGATGTTTGCTTTCATTGTGTTTTACATTCACACCGATGCGATAAAGTAGACAATACATGTAGAAAAGTGGATGAGAGGCGTAAAAAGTATTAAGAATTTATACTGTAAGTGAAAGTATGGATGCACTGCCTTTATTTGACTCATTTAAACTTTTAAGTATCTAAACAAAACATAGTGAAGTGAAAGCTTAGCTAGATTTTAACATTAAAGTAACTGTGCAAGATAACTCCACGATAACTTAACAACTATTTTCTCACTGTTATGCTTTATATAAGGCTCTGAGACACATCAGATGTTAGATTGAAATTGTTATAGGCTAGTGTAACACTATAACTGCACACTATAGTTGTTTAAACCTCATCACAGACGTGCAATGATGATTATAATGTAAACTCCAGGACAAATATGATGACAACATTAAAACTGATTTTATTGGCTGTTTTCAATAAAAGTTTAGTAAACATCACAGGAATGTGATTTTGACTTGTTAGTTCAGTAAGATTCATCATAATTCTATGTCAGGATGACCAGTGAAATACTGTATGAACACAAATAAAGTTCAAATTCCCCTAGTAGTAAGAAGCACATTTACTAAAGTAGCCACACACCTGGTAAATACAGGCCTGCACTTTTGTTGATAATATTACATTAGTTACATGTTTTGAAAACAGAACATTGCCAGTTGGCCTACTTTGAATTACTTACAAATATAGTGAGGTACATTTTAAAATGTACAATCGTACAACTTCATACAACTTGTTCAGTTTGCTTAAATTTCTGCAGAAAAAGATATACACAATAGAAAATAACATATTTTCTTAATATGTAAATATGATTAAATAAAACAATTTTACATTTAGTCATGTTATTTTCATTTAGCCTATGTACAAAGAAATGCTCTACCAATCTGTAACAAAATCTCCTCTTTGTGATTAGTCATATGACTACCTTTTTTGTAGGAAATAGCTGCATTGTTAGTTATCCACCATCATGTCTGATGTTTTTGTTACCCATCTGATGTCCAAGGTAGTTTGAATGGGAGCTGGAAGAGCTCAGGGCACTATTACTCTGGTAGATGTCCAGTACAGGGGCTCTGGCATGGCAACATGCTTTTGACACGTGGGACAGGTCTGCTTAGTCCATAGCCATTCCTCTATGCACTAAACCAGAAGGATCACGATATTCAGTTACATTCAGCTGTTCAACAACACATTCTAAACCAGCTTTACATAGGACAGTATCTCAATACCCCAGTGAACAAAACACAGGGGACAATGGCAAGTATGAAACTCCCTAAGATGGTTATAGAGTGAGGAAGAAGTCTTGGGAGAAAACGAATGCTCAGCAGCTAAAAAAAATGCAGAATAGATAGTAGCTCATCTGAAATGGCCCTGGTTTCTGGGCCACTTATATTTGGCAATATTTTATTTTTGAAGCTGAATTTGTTAATTTCTAAAGTCTGAACCTTTACCTCACTGTGGAAGCTGTGGGAACAGTGAAGCTCTCTGATAACTCCTCCTCCTTTGCATAGGTTGTCATGGCAGATCAGACACAAACTGTCCGCATCACTCTACAAAACAAACACCACAATATATCAACCAACTCAATTAGTTTCATTCTACATTATAGTTGATCAACATTACAAAAATGCAATACCATTTATCAATTTCCTGTGAAGTACCCAGGAAAACTAAAAAACTCCACTGAATGTCATCAAATATCTTCTTTTGTGTAAAAAAAACAAAACAATTGATTTTATTGATTTTTCTTTTTTAGATAAATTAATAGCATGTTTCTACCATGGAGAAAAATAAAATACATAACTAAATAAAAGCGGAATTGCAACTTTTGATCTCACAATTCAGAAGACACTAAGAATTGCGAGATATAAATGTAGAATTGCGAGATACAAACTTGCAATTCTGAGAAATAATGTCAGAATTTTTAGTTTATATCTCACAATTTGGACATTAAAAAGTATTTTTTATAAAGTTTTTATTCCATGGTAGAAACAAACAAAAAAAAAAACTGAATTGCAAGATGTAAACTTGGAATTGCGAGAAAGAAATTCAGAATTCTGAGTTTATATCTCAAAGTTCAGAATTGTGAGATATTAAGTCAGAATTGTGACATAAAAAGTTGCAATTTATTTAGGAAACAAGCTTCCATACAATAGAATGTGAATGTGTATAAGAATTTATTCTTAAAGTATAATTGCTTTGCAAATATATTACCAAGTCAAAACTCTAAGTACCTAAGCCAGGGGTCTCCAAACTCGGTTCTTGAGGGCTGGTGTTCTGCAGTGTTAAGCTCCAAACCTAATTAAACACACCTGACCCAGCTAATCAAGGCATACTAGAAACTTCCAGGCAGGTGTGAGGCAAGTTAGAGCTAAACTCTGCAGGACACCGGCACTCCAGGACCGAGTTTGGAGACCCCTGATCTAAACAAAATATTCAAACATACTTGATTGAAAGTAAAAAAAAAAAAAAAATGGCTGGGTAAAAACCTGTTGAAAATAGTTTTATGATTCTCAACAGGTTGTTTGCTGCTTGTTTTTAGCTTTGTTCATTTAGTTTTTAGCTTCAGGATATAACATATCTTGTACTTCCACTGATATTGTGGGGAAGTCGTGGCCTAATGGTTAGAGTCGGACTCGTAACCCAAAGGTTGCGGGTTCGAGTCTCGTACTGGCAGGGATTGTAGGTGGGGGGAGTGAATGTACAGCGCTCTCTCCCACCTTCAATACCACGACTGAGGTGCCCTTGAGCAAGGCACCGAAACCCCAACTGCTCCCCGGGCGCCGCAGCAAAAATGGCTGCCCACTGCTCCGGGTGTGTGTTCACGGTGTGTGTGTGTTCACTGCTGTGTGTGTGCACTTTGGATGGGATAAATGCAGAGCACTAATTCCGAGTATGGGTCACCATACTTGGCCACGTCACGTCACTATAGCCTCAGATTTCTCTAGCCTTGCCATAGCATTGTATCATAACAATAAAATGATCTCATCTTATATTTGCCTATCTAAATGGTTTTGTGATTGCATAACCTATTGGTAATCATTCACATTTTTACAAATTTAAAAGCAAAATCATATCACACCAACCAGAGACATGACATTGCGGCTCCTAAACCGAGCTTTTCTCTCCAGAGGCTCATGCACCTCAGGGATGGTTGGGATGGCATATGGGCGTCTTTCACATGCGCTGCTCTTGGTGTGCGTTCCCTCCTCACTATTGGCAACATGGCTGGAGCGAGAGCACGGCCTCGCCTCACCGCTCTGAAGCCAGTGGCTCGGGTAAGCCATGCTAAGGCTCGTGGTGGCAGCATGCAGACGGCTCAGATGCATCGCATTCAGCTGAGCCTGAAAAATATGCATGCATAAAATAAGGAAGAGGCACGCAGTTTTTCATTCCAATTGAAGTTACAACAGCATAAAAGCATTAGTGAAAGGTTTAATTTAAATTTTTAAATATAAAACATTAAAGAACATAAAAGAATATATTTTGAAGAAATGTCCATTCAAATTTAAGCCAATGGGCTCCAATGTTGTTTTGTTCCCAACGTTTTTCAAAATATTTTTGTTTCCGCACACTTAAAAAATTGGTGTACAAAAAATGTTCACTCAGAAATTGCAAATCAATTTCACAATCAATTACAAAGAAATTGCAAGTAACACATTCAATTTAACATTACATTTTGAAGTAGATCTGATATATTATTTTCTTATTATTAAAAATCTGTTTTATTTACAACTTCAAAAATGCTTACAGGTTTGCAATCAAACCGGATGACAGAATTTTCTTTTTTTGATGGAGTATCCCTTTGATGGCAGCAGTATTTGAACTGTAGAACAAGTTTGTGTAAAATGTTCCATGTTATCCAGTATGTGAGAATGAAACAAAGAGTATTTTATACAACGAGTTCACATGGAACACAAGTGCATAATCTTACATAATTCTTATTGATTTTACCTCATGTTTTTAAAATTGTTTTCCAATTTTATTTCCATTTTTGATGCAGACACAGCACAAATAGAAACACTAATATAAAATGTCTAAACTCCTCTTTAAGAGTTTGGATTACACAAAAGTGTCCTGCATTGATCTCTGATATCACTAAACCGTAAATCAAAGTGAAAATTGAAATGCACATTTTGATTCACAGCCTAAATTAGCCGTTTTTCTGTAAAAAATGTGACATAATTTACAATTAGGATCCATTTGTAAGAAAACTGGTCTTCATTACTGTAGGGCAAACTGTGTTCATTTATGAACCACATCATTTTTTTTTTTTACTGAAGAATATATACATATATATTTACAAATCAGTGATATTAAAATAATTAGTTTTAGCTTCAGTCCTGTGAACTAAAAAAATAAAATAAAATAAAAAACAGAAAAAAATGTATGTCATTCATATATTCATGTAATTCATATAAATGAGTTGAGATGGTCTGAATACTTGCAAGGCAAGAAAGGTAAGAAAATTTCATAAACAGTGACACTGCAACACCTTATAAAGTGCTTTAAAAACATTTTTTACATAAAAAAAAACATACAACTTTCATATACATACAAACTGTAAAAATTATTTAAAAAAACAATGATTATTGGAGTGTTTTACAAGAAAATACAGTCTTCCAGTCTTTCAACTTCAAAATTTCACATTTAATTCTATGCCGTTTCTTTGTACTTAATTGTGAAATTTATAGAATCTACAGAGTAAAAATAAAAATAACAGTAAACAAAAATAAAAATGCAAAATAAGGAGGCAAGAGAATTAAATTGCTTTAGGAAAAGCCCTATTAAGCAAGTGTGCTTTGAGATACTATTTAAAAAGTGTTAATTGAATCAACTGCTCGTTGGCTGTCTGGAAGAGAAATCCTGAGCTTGGCACCATAACGACTGGTGTGTTTCTGCTCTCATTTAAAAGACCGTAGGCAAAAAAGAGCTCAAATAGACGTGTAAAAGCTACACACACACACACACACACACAGGGTACTAACCGGACATGGAAGTGAAGCTCTGCGACTGGCCAGTGATCGACTTGGAATTGGGACATCCCAACTGCTCTTCCTCTCAGCCTCTGGCTCCTCTTCCTCTTCTTCCTCCTGCTCCTCCACATTTTCCTGCCCTTCATATCCTCCCTGAAATGTGGTAAAGATTTCATCTTCCTCTTCCTCGTTCTCCATGTTAAACAGACGTAGCTGTATCAAATCTCAGACGAATACCTCTGAAAGAGAAACTGTGAGGAGTAGCGGCTTGAGGCTTGCGACTGGGTTCTGGACGGGCCTTGGATTGCTGATTAAGCTTCTGTAATTAGATCCCCAGGTTTTCTTATCCCATCCGTTTCCTCTGTAACTCTAAGCCTCATGGAGACGACACAGGGACCGATGCAAGCTCCTTTAACTCCTCAATAATCTGTTTAGGAGAGAGGTGGGGACTTGGAAGAGGAGGGAGGGGATTCTCAAAGCTCTCTGGAAGAATCATGCTCCAGATCTGTTCAGAATGTTTTAAATACTTTGTATACTGCACGTAGTGCTCATTACAATATAATGCATTCATGAAAAAAAAAATCAACAAAACGATATCCAGGTTGGTAACTCTGGTATAAAAATTGTTGCCAAAGAAACATATTTCATTTTTTGTCTTCAGTTAAGTGAGACTTTCTGAAATTCTCAGATTTTAAAAAGTCAGGAAAAATAAACAGGCATAAAAGTAAAACTCAAAACATGTTTATTTACCTCATACAACCTACACAAACACACACAAACTGAATGTGAAACGCATCAGTAAACTGGATTATAATTTAAGTAGATACTATAAATGTTAAGGACTTTAGAGAGTGCATTCAAAGGGGCATCTAAAATTAGACCCCACAGATACATGTAACCTACATGGACTGAAAGCCAAACAGAGTGTCAACAATAGATGAAGTCATGACAGGACATTAGATGTTACTAATATTAAGTGTGACTCATTGGACAGGTAATGCTATAATATGTTGAGCCACTTAGTCTTTGATTATATGAATCTGTCCTCTCCATTTTGTCAAATATCCAAGAACAATCAGTTAGCTTTCTGACATTTCGAAAGTTTGATGTAACTATGAAAGTGGAAGTAACATGATTTTGAGGCATGTATCAAACAAGAACCTAAATAAGGATTGCCTGTAGATGGCAGCTTTGCACAAGACATTTTTTTTTCCAGTCACATTTTAGGGACTGTCATAAAAGACTACAAAAATATTGATATGTAAAAATTAAAAACAACAAGGCTTCCACTAAAAATAACAACAATGTGCAAGATAAACTGTGAAAAAGATGCTACATTTGTATGTAAAGTCATTTATGTTAGATGCATGGGTAAAGTCTCTAAGAGTGTTTGATTGAGTCCAATAACCAGCTGGGTGAATTCATTGCTGAAGGCCCCCACAAAATCTGTACAGATGATGTTAAGACATGATTTGCCCGGGCCTGGGCACTGCTGCTTGACCCAGTTCAGGAGCAGACTATAGGAGCTCAAGGTCATGCTTTGTAATGACTGGCATGGATGAGAAATAACATACTTGGCATCCTCAGTTAGGTTCAGACCAGCAGCAAAAAACTGACCTGAAAACATATTCAGGGCAATCATTTAGGGAAAACAACCTTTTATTAAAGATATTTTCTTTCCATCCTAACGGCTTCTTCTTCATCTGAGACAAACATTTTAAATGTAACTTGTCCTAGAGCTTTTAAGCTACAACCATCAAACTCAGGCAAGACCTTCAGACTGTTGTGCTATATCTTTTCTAACTGATCAGACTTACAATTTTCAAAAACCAGATGATCAAAACTATGAAAAATGCCAGAGACTTTCATCGAGGGGACAAAACTTTCATACAATAAATCTAATAGAGTTTTTAAGCTAAGCTGCAATGTGGTAATCATGCTTGAAACATGCTATAAATGTAAATGATAGCAACATGATAGCAATGTGGTAAATTGCCAGCTTGTTGCTAGCAATTAATGTTTCGAAATCATGCAAGAAACATTCTAACGTGTTGAATCATGATAGAAACATGTTAGTAATGTGTTAATTCATGCTAGCAAAATGTTAAATCAGGGGTTCTCAACTCTGGTCCTTGAGGTCCTGTTTGATTAGAGTTGGAGCTAAACTCTGCAGGAAAGTGGACCTCGAGGGCCAGAGTTGAGGACCCCTGTGTTAAATCAAGCTTGAAACATGTTAGTAATATACCAGGGGTGTCCAAACTTGGTCCTGGAGGGCCAGTGTCCTGCAGAGTTTAGCTCCAACCCAAATGAAACACACTTGAACCAGCTAATCATGGTCTTACTAGGCATACTAGAAACTTCCAAGCAGGTGTGTTGAGGCAAATTGGAGCTAAACTCTGCAGGACACTGGCACTCCAGGACCGAGTCTGGACTTTTAGTTACCTAGTTTCATAGCCAGAGAGTGAACCAACTCCAGGGTAAAGGCTTGCTAGCATGGCTTATCGCCGACGTTTAACGCCTCGTGACTAAACAAAGGGCGCCAATGTGAGTGCACACCGACGCGCAAAACGCGAGGCGTAAAAGCATAATAAAAAAAAAAATGCCTCGGGTTCGTTTTTTTTTGGTTTGATGCGCCGCGCTAAAAACTGGCCAAACAATGAGATTGGCGCTTTTGTTCACATGCCTGGAGCTGCTGAAGTTACAGTAAAACACGACCTGGTGGCACAAAACACACAAAAAAAAAAACACAAAACGGTCTTGCCGAGCACACATTGATACCTAACGACAAAGAGGAAGTAAGTAGACCAAGAAGATGCATCGAGGCAAGATGAATGTAGAGCTGCTGGTCTCATTGGTGTCTGAACACAAAGGGCTTTATGACAAACGCGACAGCGACTACAAAAATCTCGATAAGAGGAAGTTGTTATGGAGAGGAATTGCAGATCAAATAGAATTCGATGTGTACTGGGGTATTTCTGTTTTTCATTAAGCGCCATCTAATGTCAGGGAGTGAATTTGCACGTTCATTCGGCTCATCGCCTGCGAAAATCGCTTGGGTATAAACACAAAAGACACGTCGAAAAACATTGGCGATAAGCGCACGCGATAATCGTCCCGATGTGTACGAGCCTTAAGGCTAAAAGTAGTCTAATGTTAGTGTAATCTATTAACTACACATTATATGTTTTTAGTCACGCACAACAAAACTCAGGCGTTTCAGCGATGACTCATCTGATTGCAATCATAAACTCAACGGAATTGTGTGTGATTGGTTATAACGCGCAACACTGTAAAAACACGTAAAAAGAAATATGATGGAACAAATAAGCCCTAATATTAATTAGATAATAATACTATCCTGATAATAATAATAATAATAATAATAACAACAATAATCTTCTTGATCTTGTCAAAGGCATCAGCAACAGGCGATATCTCTGACTATGGTCGATACACGATACTATCGTCTATCGACACAACCCTAGTCTGGACACCCCTGTAATATACTAAAACATGCTAGCAAGATGCTAAAACATATTTGCAACATTTTATTGTTTTCTCTGACTTGTCTGAGAAAAATCTTCCAACTTCAAGCCTTTCAAAGTTGTTTCAAACTTTTAGACAAGGCTTTGTCAAGCCAACATCAAAGTTTGTCATCAAACTTTATCTGTCTTGTTTTCTAATTATTACCGACCTGGTCTTCCTTCTGCTTTCCTCTCCTCCAGGTAGGATATGACATGGCTTGGATCTGATGTGTTTGCCCACCAATATTCACACTGTGGCCAGAGTTCCTCATATCCAGATGCAGCTGAATCATCATATGACAGAATAACCTGATAATTGTGATTCCAACACTGCCGTAGTGAGGGTATGATCTGAAATAACAAAAACAATAGAGAGATTACTGAGACATATGCTGCATCCAAATATGACAAAATTTCATTCATATGACCCATATTCAATTTCATACTATATAGAACACTTTTTTTAATGGTCATGAAATAATTTTCAATCCAAACACTGCACCTACTAGACAGTATGCAATTTCAGTTGCAGATATAGTGTCTAATAAAAAATAATAAAAAAAGATATTGTGGCCAAGAATTAAGAACTTGTTCCATTGTTTAATGTAAATTGTGGTCACGATTTTACTAAATTAAACCAAGGGCACAAATTACTACATTGTGGTGACAATTTAACTAAAAGAAGGAAATCAATTATTAAAACGTGACCATGAATTAACAAGTCGTCAGTCGTGGGAACGAAATCTTAATGTGTGGTCACACAGTACCTATTTTTGTCCAGAATGTTGTGTACCATTCTGAATTTTATGTAACGTTTACATTTACGTTACATTTTTAAAAAATTACAAGACATAGGCTACATCAAGATTCAAGGTATGTCTTGAAAATTTCAAATGTTTTAAAATAAATGAAAATTACTTACATGATTGGGACAAATTTTATTGTCGAATGTGCTTATGAGGAATTGAATGAGGTCTTTGTGTTGATCCAGGGTCATGCCATCAAAGGCCGAAAGAGCAATAATGACCAATTCTTTGGTGTGCTGACCTAACCAGTGAGCAACTTCTGTGAGCGCTTCCTTAAAATAACAAAGCCAGAACACAGCCAAAGTTATTCTTGACTTGGAATGAGGAATTAACTTTTTTCTAAAATTATGATCAAGTGTACCTTCACTGTCAGAAGAGAGTAGATCCCATGTGCAAAGTAGAAAATGTTATCAGGGTCTTTTATCTTATGAGCTATTCTTAAATCGAGAAACCGAATGCCTAAATCCAGCTGGTTAGAGATGCTATCTTCCTGGATTAAAAAGAAAAAAAATAAGCCATGTAAAATGCTGTATATTTCCAACACCCGTCCTTTTGTCATAATTTACCCACACTGCATGATTTATGGGAAACACAAAAGGAGGCAGAATGACTCAGTCACCAATCAAAGGTTAGTTCACCCAAAAATGAAAATTCTGTCATCATTTACTCACCCTCAAGATGTTTCAACCTGTATAAACTTCTTTCTTCTGCCGAACACAAAAGATGATATTTTGAAGAATGTGTGTTACCAAACAATTGACGGTAGCCATTGACTTCCAAAGTATTTTTTTCCACATTATGGACGTCATAACGTCAACTGTTTAGTTACCATTTACCAACATTCTTCAGATATCCTCTTTGGTGTTCAACAGAAGATAGTCATGCAGGTTTGTAACAACTAAAGGGTTAGTAAACGATTACAGAAATGGAATTTTCCGGTGAACTAACCCTTTCATTGCTGTCATAGCACAAAAATGCAATGAAAGGGCAATGAAGGTGATTGAGTCTGTTAGTCACTGATGCCACCCTTTGTGTTCCACTGAATGAATAAATTCATACAACGTTTGAACAACACAATATCATATCATCATCGTCTTTCATGCCTGTGTTGTCGCCCATTTGATTATACAGGGCCGAACGATACAGGGAAGTAAAGTGTCCAACACTTGCACCAGCCTCGGCGAAGACTTCAGTACTGACGACCGCTCATCTAAACAGTAAGTCATGGAGTCATGACTTCCTGAAAAGCAGTAAACGGATGTCGAAATTGTTAAATAGTAGCAGTAAAAAGGGTAATCAATTCATTGCAAAACAGAATTAAAACATGGAAATAATCAGACTTTGTTGACGTACCGGGTATAGCGAGATTCCACAGCGGTATGTCCCAAAAAGCAGAGGGCATCTCGGACATCCAGTCCGAACAACAGCTGGAGATGCATATCCTTTCTTCATCCTCCATTTGTTACGTTTTTAAATTGTGAACAATTAACCTAAAACACTCGTATTAGTCGCAGTAGCAACATCATCTACCGCACATCAGGCACTGAAACCAAAAATAACCATTGTTTCCGCGTTTTTCTTTGTCATGCGATGCCAAACAGAAACACCTTGTTAATTAATGTACAGAAGTGCACTGAGTGTTTAACATGGTCATTATAGTGGTGAAATATAAATTTGTTAGAGTTTGGAAGATTTTTCATGATCTCTTGACACTTTCGTTTCTCGAATCTGGATGACAACAATGTTAGGGACCGTCTAAAAGTGCGATTTTTTTTTTTCGTTTTGTTGAAGAGACCCAAAAAAACACTGGCTCACATTTGAATTTTGATTTATTTATTTAGGAATTTTAATGTTTATTTGTTTACATTTACATTTTACATTTAGACATTTAGCAGACGCTTTTATCCAAAGCGACTTACAAATGAGGACAATGGAAGCAATCAAAATCGACAAAAGAGCAATGATATGCAAATGAAAAAAAAGAATTGAATGTTTAATATGTTAAAT